GGCCAAGGGCACATGCTTGGGTTATGGGCTCAATCCCCAGTAGGGGCGTGCAAGAGGTAGCTGATCAATGATTCTCTCTCATTATTGATGTTTCTATCTCTCCCTTCCTCTCTAAAATCAATAAAATATATTTTAAAAATAAAAAGATGGACAAAGGGGAAAAGGTTTCTATAACTGCAACCCCCCAAATAGAGATATGGAAGATAACATTTAGGAGAATACGGTAAGCTAGAATGTTTTTTGGAGGTGTCATTGAAGGATGACTTAGTTCTCAACTCCTCAATCACTGATTTGATTTCTACCACCATAGCTTAGTTTTGTCTCTTCCAGACCTTCTTATAATTGGAATCGTACATAAATGTGCTTTTGTGTATGCCTTCTATCTCTTAGCATAATGCTTTTCAAATTCATCCATGTTGTTGCATGAATCAGTAATTAGGTTCTTGTTATTGCTGAGTAGTTTTCCACTGTAACAGAATTCAATCCAGAACCACACATCACATTCCATTTGTCCTATGTCCTTAAACCCCTTTAATCTAGAATGGTTCTTTAGCTTTTTATATTTCTCATGACATTGTGATATCTTGAGAGTGGTTTCTTAATTTTAATTTGCCTGATTATTTCTCCATAGTAAGCTGCAACTCATGCATCTTTGGTAGGAATACTACATAAATTATATTGTGTGTGTTCTCGGTACTTCCCATCAGGAGGCACATGGTGTGAAGTTTTTCCACTGTTTGGTGATGCTAAATTGGATATTTTGGTTAAGGTAGAAGAACACTGAAACATACCCGGAGTTAGAAAGTTTTCTGGATGGGAAGGATTAAAGTATGTCAATTCACTCACGTCTTTAAGAAATGGGATTTGAATGGGAAAAGTATCAATTTGAAGTTTTTGGTTTTGTTTCCTTTTGTTATTTGTGAGTGTGTATTTTATCTTAAGCTATATAGTTTGTGAGCCATTATATCTTGGGGTTAGGCTAGGCAATTTTATGCCATTGACTTAACAATTCAGAAATTTCTTCTTGAGTGACAGTGATGTCATATGCCAAATCCTGGTACAGGTGTTCTCATGTCTGTCACAACATGAAAGGTATTCATTTCACAGAGACACAACAGAATCAGATAAACAAGACGTGTATCGGATTGATTGCAAGAGTTGGGGGAGGAGGTTCCTCTCATTCAATTAAAGATAAAAAAAATACACCAAATAAAATTGAAAACATGCTGTGATTGTTTCCTCTCATCCCATGATGTAGAGTTTGCAGAGGGGTTCCATTTTGTTTGGGGATTCTTTTAATAGCTTTATTGAGACATAATTCAAACAGAATACAATTAACCCACTTAAAGTACACAACTCATTGTTTTTAGTATATGCATAGGGTTATGTACCTATCGTTACAATTTAATTTTAAAACATTTTATCTCCCCTAAAGTAAACACCCTAACCACTAGTTGTCACTTCCCACTCCCATAATTCCCTACCTTCAATCCTGTTCATAGCCTGTCCCATTGAAATAGTTTTTTTATATATTATCATAAGAATGAGTACAAAAAAATAGCGCTCTGAAAAACATAAATGGGTACTCAAAAATTGTAGCAGGGTAAACCACAAAGATATTATGGAAGCAATAGCATCCAATGGATTTTTTTTTTTAATTGCCAAGCAAGGAAGCTGTGGGAATGATGACAGATTATGTTATCACTTATGAAAGACAAAAGCTTTTAAATATAAAGACAAATGATATTAAATATATAAAGACAAATGATATTAAATATAAACTTGAAACAGGCTCCAGTTACAGAACCTCATTTTTCTCATAAGAACAACAAATATTGGCAAATTCAGGTCCTGACTTCACTGCTCATTGTGTGACTCTGGGCAAGTAACAGAAGATTTATAAACTTCAGTTTCCTCTTGTAATATGAGAATAATGATGGTACCAACCTCGTAAAGTTAGTGTGGAGGTTAGCACATGCAGAGCTTTACAACCAACGCTGGCACATAACAGTTGCTCAATAAACACTAGCTGTTGTTGTTTTATCACTTTTGTTCATAAGAACTTAATAGTTCAGCTCAAATTCCAAAATGTAATTCTTAGATATGCCAACTTGCCACATGTGATTGTTATTTTTAAAATCTCTATTCAAAAAAGTTTCCTGCCATGAAAGTAATGGATGGAGATTTAAGATACTGTAATGTAGAGAGAAAAATTTACCTTGATCAGGTATGACTGACAGCGCTGTAAACCAGCCTTAAATTGCTTTAGAGCTATATGTTCTGTAACTAGTAAAAGTGTAATTTATTATTCTCACCTAACACTGGTATAAAAGATTTTCCTTTTCTAAATTTAAAGAAAATCTAACAGCAACAAAAAGCTTATATAATGGCATTGAACATGTCTAATAAAAAATAGTGGTAGAACATCATAAACCACATATAACCTCTTAACAGTTGAAATGTTGAAATAAGACTCTAAATGTATGGCTTTTAAACCTGTGTGAACTAAAGTTGTGATTTGATTTTGTGTCCATAAATGTAACCACCAAAGATTCCATTTCTTTAACTCCAACACAAAATGGCTTTGGGTAATAAGATTATGGTAGATGATTTTATTTTTGAGGAATTGTTATATATTCTCTGTTCTTTTACAAGTGTGGTGTTAAATATTATGTCCCAATCAGATGACTCATGATACACAACATTTTGATACTTGGGAAATGTTAACACATTACAGCCCCTGCTTTGAAAAGATAAAAGAATTAATCACAGGCAGCACATGTTCATTTTCCTTTGACCCCGTGAGACACTTTAAATGATGTGGTTTGCACGTGGCCCCATATTGTCTCTCAAGGCTTCCTTCATTGTCCATCTGTGTCTACATTTTAACCCCAGGCTTTACTCGTCTTGGCATTGTTTTGTATTTGCATGAAAATTTGTAATTTTTTTTTTTGCATGACAAGTCATCCATAATGTTGAAGTTAAATGTCTAACATATCTTGCAATGTCACGTTCATTAATTCTTACATGATATTTTTTTTCTTTTATTTTCAGTCACTGAAGTTTAAATATGCTTGAAATGTAAAAGTGGCATGAAACTGGAGTGATGCAAGAATATTTAATGTTCCTTTAAGAACTTGCCATTTTTTAGCTGAAAAAATTGGGTGGTGGGGATGTAGTGCCCAGCCTTGTCTTTAGACACCAATTCCAATTACAAATTAAGATAAAACCATATTGAACCTAAGTGCTGTCAGCAGAGTAATAAATTCTGAAGTGATACTTCTTTTTGTCCCCTGAGAATGTTTCTAGTTCTAAAATATTGAGTATAAAATATGTCCCTTAATTTCAGAAATTACTAAATATTTTATTTAATGTTTTTTCTTCAAGCCTTCTTAATGATACATAAAATTAAGCTCCCCCAACTTTAGTGAAAGTTTCTAGTAACTGAAAAAGTAATGAATGACTCACTGACAGCATCAACATTTTAGTACTTTCACATTTCCTAAATGAACATGACAACCAAAACGGATGTTAATGTAGAAGTGCATGAATATACAAGGAAAAGAAGTTATTTACACCATTTTCTCAAGCTTCAAATCTGTAGAGACCCAAATTGACTCATACTAATGGACCCAAATACATGCATATAAACAAGTGCTTTTCTTCCAGGCAGTCGCCTTGCTGGCTCTACGTAGGTTTATTCCCGCCAGCTGCCATTGAGAAGACTGATGTAGAACACTCCTTGTTGAATTACCCTCAGAGTCTATTACATTCCCTGCAATATCTATATGGTAATATGTCATGTTCCTTGGAGAGTGACCCTCAGAGCCACATCAGTCAAGTAAGAATGGCAGTCAAGCTGGCAAAACATATTTTTTTAAATAAGTGAACTTACTAAGAAGTTCGCTTGTATGGATTATAGTTTATAAAATGACTGTGATCCCATTTCCTAAAGAAGAACCCCAGAAAGCATTTACATAATAGCAACGATGGGAATAAATGAAAAATCTTCAAGGAGTCTTCTAGGCAAGCAACTAGATAGTCACCTGAATAAATACGTTCTAGTACAGGTATAAATTATTATTTTTAATCCAACCTCATTTAAGCTACTAGGCTTACATTTTGAAGGACAGCCTTTCTTCAATGATTTTTTTTATCATATCAGAATATAGATAAGTAGCTGTGATAGCTCCCTTGCTTGAGTGACTATCAAATTGATAACTCTTTAGCAACAATTTTAACAAATTTGGGTTGACTGCATCACCAGCTAACTCTGTGATATTGGCAAGAGACTCAACCTCTCTGTGCCTCTGGCCCTCTTGTCTACAATGAAGGCTTGGGCTTAATTATCTTTAAAATCACTTATGAGTGAAAATGTTATACTGTAATTATTTACCTGTGTGTGAAACAGCTATGATTATCATATGTCATAAATCTATATACTTTTCTGTGTGGTTTTAAGTCTTAAAGTTAAAGTAATTCAAATTCAAGTTATTTAAAAAGACATCTAGACATCTATGTGTCTAGTGTCCTAATAAAATATTTTCTACCAACGATAATAATGATAAAGATAACATTTGTATAGCAGTTTGCATTTCCATTGCCTTACATGAATCTCACAACTTAAGAGCTTCTCTCATCCGCATTATGTTGATGAAGAAGATACTGAGGTTCAAAGAGATTCAGTCTAAGGTGATGGATTGCCAAGTTGTAGAGCTGGACAGAGACTCTAGGTCTTCTGCTGCCAATTCAATACTCTATAATCATTTAGCTATAACCAGTTTTTTAATTAGGACACAACTTTTTCAACGTGTCATCACTCAGAATTTACACTCCTTGAAAGTAAAATCTGCCTTCAGGGACCCGCTGGCACCCCCTTAGACTATCCACTTGCGTCACTACAGCTCTCTCTGCTTTTACAAACTAGTTGTTTTGTCAGCATGAGTGTGACAACAATTAGACGTCCCCTGTTTTTGCCCCATGCCTTTTCTCCTTCACAGTCATTCAATGACAAGCGTAAAAAGAGCTTCATCTTTTCACGAAAATTCCCATTCTACAAGAACAAGGAGCAGAGTGAGCAGGAAACCAGTGATCCTGAACGTAAGTAGATTCTCAAAGAGAATGTCACCTGCAACACAAGAGAGAGAAAAAATCCTTCACCGGCAACACGCATGATGTAGGCTCCCCCACGCCACACGCCTAGGCAAACGAACACGGCAGGCAGGCAGGTCAGGGCTTACTACTGTGACCAGTGTTTGGCTGCAGTCTGGATCCTTCGCTTGGGGTGGCTCTTCTTTGCAGGAGGCATTGGAGAAGGACTTCAGGAAGCTGGGACTTCGCTTCCAGAGAGCACTTATCTGTGCCCAGGACTGGATCTGGTTTGCCTTTTCTATCATGCAACTCTCTAGGGCTAGAGATGAATTCTATTCTGGACAGAAATATTGGATCCTATTGCCACATGCATTTTTTGGAATGCTAGCTAATTGAAAGGGATTAAATTCCCTATATTGATAACGAGCATTTGTTCACTCTTTCACTGCCAATGAATACTAAACTCCTTCTGAGCAGTGAGCTTGTATTGGTGAGGATGAAATTTAAGAATTGGTCATGAAAGGTGGAGTGAATCATTGCTCTCAGTGGTGTATTTTTGTGGCAATGTGGACAATGGGCAAAAATGTCATCCACTGAATCTATTTTTTGTAACAATCAACTGCTTAAACCTTTTGAGATGTTTTACAAATTCTTGCATCTCAGCCCAGGGAGTTTGGGGCGAAAGCTGTTTCCAAATGAGAGAGATTGGGATCCAGATTGCTTAGGCAACGCGGTCTGTCATGGTAGTATCCATTTCAACTCCACTGACTTCTTCCTTCCTCTTCCGTGGCTGTTCTTCCTCTCTCATTGCTCTCTCTGGGGACTTCCATGCAGGACATCCCCGGATTAGGTGACGACGGTTATGGAACAAAGACTCTGAGTAAGTTCCCAGGAATGGTCACTGTAACTTTCCTTTTCTTGCCCCTTCCTTTTGAGTTTGGCTTTTGTTCCTTTACTTGAGGGCCTTCCACTCCTAGCATGCACAAGATACGAGTTTTATTTGTTACGTAGCTGTGAATGCTCCTACGAAGTAACTTCCAACCGTTCTGTTCTGCATGTCAGCATTGAAAAGCCAAGTGTGTCAGGCACTGTAACTCCTGTTGCGATTCATACCTTCCCTTTCTGACCGTGTAATATGACCAACATGGTCCTGCTGCCAACTATGGCAACCCTTGCTCTGCAGGCTAATTCCTCCCAGAGAGCAAGGAGCCATGTTGAGGGAAAGGGCAAGCTAAATGTTCTAGAACAGGAAGGCAGAAATGTACTGTATGTCCCCTTCTGCCTTTTCACCCAGGCCTTGCCAAATTTGATAATTGGATTGTACTTGGTTATTGGTAAAGGAGCTATTTTATAGTCCAAAGGAACATGCATTCTCAAAATGTATATATTAAGCTATTTGATCTTCCATAACTAATTCTTTGTTATTAACGTTGCTTCTTTTTCTGACTTTCAGTGGTCCTGCTTGAAATGTTTGTATGATAAAAGTTTTAGACATGTGTTAATATGTTGTTCTATCAGTGATGTATTAGCTGTGTTACATAGAAGGTCTTCATTTTATAGTGGAAAACTAAAATCTTTAAATCATTTTGTTATTAATGCCTTTATCTGTGTCTCACTGCACTGAGCAATAACAAATAATCTTGTATATTAATACAGTATGCTATGATTTTTCTTTCTTTTGTACTAACCTCATTGCGTAGGCACCAGTGAAATAAGAACAGAGTTTTGTGTCTTTTGCAACTGCATCATATGTTTAATTTTTGTTCGTTTTTGTTTTAATTTAATAGCTATAAGCAATATTTTTAGAAGCTGATCATTTCATTTGTATAAAACAAAATAGCATTGAGCTGAACTTTGTTTTCAAGAGCTGTTTCTATAACCCTGCCTAATGATACCCTTCATCCTTCAAATTGTTACTTTGGATTCTTTTTCTTTTTTAGTTACACATATAGAAAACAAAACCTGATCAAGAATAAACTACTGATCTCCTTAAAGATGAAAACTTTATCTTTGAGTCTCTATAGGGAACAGGTCATGAAACTTTTCTTAAATTAAAAGCTGAAATTCAAATGTTAATTTTAACATTATCTGGATAGCATCAAGCACCACTGGAGAGAGTTTCTAAATTTTCCATTGTGGGGGGGAAAAGGGGAATAAGACATTTCAATGTATTGCTAATAAATGAACATCACTAATTAGTAGTTGCTACAGTGTCAAAAATATGAGTGATGCCCTTTTAAATCTAGAATGTGCAAATGTTTTCTTACTCTAAAAGACTGAACAAATTTCAGTAGCATTGTTTGCCAGTTAATGCTTTTGTTAGCCATAATTTGGACTTTAGCTGGAACACATTTTTCATTTCCTTTTACCTACAAAAATCCTGTTATACAGTGTCTTGATGCTGAGATTGTTAAAACACTGCATGGTCCTAACTTTCTCCATAGTGTAGCTTCATTCTAACTTATTTTAGAAGTAAAAAGCAGAAGCAAGCAAACAAAAAGAATAAAATAGGCAGGAGATAAATGAGCTTAGTAAAAAAAAAAAAAAAAAAAACTTTTTCCCAATTCAAAGTACTTAAAATAATCATGTACATTAAGAAAAGCCATTGTTGGGTGTATGCCTGGCTTTTTTCAGTAAAAGAAACTGATTTCGTCCACACTGCTTTCCCTAGTGCCCTCTGCGCTGCCTAAATTACTGATGGTCATACATCAATAGAAAGAGAAATGATTCACGTGACTTTAACCTATACTTCGATTTTTTATTCACTTCATGCTCAAACTAATCCATCCTGGATGTGCTAAATAACTCAGAGGAATCATCTCATGGTATTTATATATGTATAATTGCATTATGTACTTTAAAGGTATTACAATTTTATTTGTCAGTTATACCTCGGAAAGCTAAATAAAACAAATCCATTCAATTGACAAGAATCTATATCAAATACTTTTAAGCACATCTTTACCATTAGAGAATAATGTTATGGAAAAGAATACATAATATTATTCTCTAATGGTAAAGATGTGCTTAAAAGTATTTAATATAGATTAATTATGTATTCTCCTTTTTCTAAAAATGTGTAATAGTTATCACTACTTAAAAGCTAAAGTTATTAATAAGCTTCAGAAATCAAATAGTCACATATTCTTCATTTAACTGATATGCAAAGCAGTCAATAAGCTGATGAATTTATCTTCTATAATTTAATACACAGTACAGATGAAGGATATGATTTTGGAAATAAAAGCTCTAATTCTGGCTTTAGCATCCCTGTTATGTGAGGTAAAATTTCTTTAAATTAAATATCACTGTATAAGCAAGTCATTCAACATGAATTTAAAACATTCCAGGACCTGCTTGGTATCAGCTCACCTAACTCCTGCCAGTTTCATCCTTCCAGAAACTAATAACTATCTAAAGAAGAATCTTAAAATGAAAACAAGGAATTATAGAACTAATTCATGAATCATTTTTCAGTGACTCATTTCTTTCTCCCAGATTTTCTATTCACTCTTTGAAGCAGAGAAGATCTCCTACAATCCCTTTTCAACCTAAGAATTTGTTTAGGAAAGTATGTAAACAGAAATAAAATTCAAAGGACTCCAGGGATCAATTGGCAATTTGAAATGCAATATTCCTACAAAATACCTAGAAGCTAAAATCGAGAACCAAAAGCCTGCAGAAACCTGCCAGTTTAGAAACCCCTGAATTTACAGTTGAGAGACATCCGGCTGAGACACCCAATAACACAAATCTGGAAAATCAGACCTATAGGAATGGGTCAAAGTATTTATAAAAGGGAAAGTGCTTCGCTTGACATCATACATTTTTTTTTGTAATTAAAGATACTTTCCTAAAAAAAAAAAAAATAGTAATCAAGTAGTAGTTTTCTATAAAATGGAGATAAAGTTTTCATCTTTTTTAATCTTATCTGCGTTTCCTTAATGCAGTCTCCTCTGCGGCCTTTTACTTGCCTTTTGCTCCCTTTTCTAGTTGCCGTGCATGAGTGTGTGCCTTTAAGTTCTGGCTGCTCGCCAATGCTTGGTATCTCTTTAATTTGCTGTGCTGTTCTTGCAGAACATGCTTCTTCTAATGCCAGCGATAGCGAAAGTAGCTACCGTAAGTTATTGCTTTGGTTTGTGGCTTTTTTTCCTTTGCAATTGCCCCCGTTGCCTGTGGTGGTCATTTCAGATTTTTGCTGTTGTTTTCATCTTCACCCAAAGCAAATGGCTTGAAATGAGATCATCCTTTGATGTGGAAAGATACAAAAGACACTAGGGCCCCCGGTGGACTCGTGTGATTAATGCAAGCAGTTCCAACCCCAGTGGACTGGCCTGTGAAGCAATTCTCCCAGAGAAGGTGGGGGAAAATTCAACCTGGTGGATTTTGACATTCTGCCCCACCCCACCCCATCCCCAAATAATTTAAACTCCCTGTATGAGGGTTGGAAGTCATGGTTTATTGTCCTTCTCCTTTCTGTTCCTGGTCCCCTTTACAAGTGAAATCTTTCTAAATTACGGTGTTCCTTTTAAATTGAGCATGAACCTTTTATATCTCTTCTCTCCTTGATTACAATTTTAAGGTAGATATTAAAATACATCTAAGATTATGTATTTGATGGTTGGGAAGTGATGAAAAGGTTTCATCCTTTAATGTTGAAGGAACTCACATTTTTCTTTAAGTGAACAAATCTTGGATCAGAAAGCTTAACTGAAAAGGTAGGTAACTACTTAAAAGTTATTTCTGGTCTTTGTTTGGTTACCTCAAGCCATTTGCTTAGTGTATAAAAAAAATTCACCAAACACCAAGCACATCCTTTTGATTCGTTCTTGTGGTTTCTTACCACCTACTTACTGGTTTTTGGTGACTAACATAGATACATACTAATCTTAACTGGAATTTTTACAATTTCTGCAATATTTCTTGGTACTCCTTACTGAAATGGATTACTCAGAAAGCAGTTGGTGAGGATATTAGAAAACAGCTGGCCCAATATATATGACCCACAG